CTCAAATGAGCCACCATCTTGTGGGGGCGTGTTAAGGGATATAATCCCACATCGAATAAAGATGTTGACACAGACCAATTAATAAAGATCTTGGGCTACTCCTCTTAATAAGGTTGACCTTTTAAGATGGACCCCCAAATCTTAATAAAAATTGGAAAAACATTGAGGAAGTGAGTAAGATTGCATTTTCAATTTTGTTTCACATTAAAGCATCATATTCACATTCTACAAAAAGTAGAATAACATAATCAGAAAACACATATTACATAAACGATGAGTAGAGGACAGTAAGTCAAGTTTAACAACCTCGGTGATTGTCAAAGAAACATCATTCAAAACAAGGGAAGCCTTCTCAAAAGGAACACTGGGATCGTTTCTCTCTTGGTTCCCCAGACGATGATATTGAAGAACGCCATAGATAGGTGAAACTAAATAGCTGCGGTCCTGAGACCAGGAAGACATCATAGTATTGCCATTTGCATTTGCAGATTCATTTATACCATCTTCAAAGATCTAAAAAACAAAATAAGCAAAGATATAAATGAGCAGAAAGAGAGAGGAGCAATATAACTCAGATAACAGGTAACCCATGTCGATATTTTTAGTTGAGCATGCATAAAACTCCAGGTTTTAATCACATTGAACTTTGGGTCCCAGTCATCATTGAAGATTATAAACATGTGGGTGAAAGTCTCAACATAATACAACCAGTGTGTTGCTGTAAAATGGGAATGTACCTCAATCCACTCCTTAGGGCTAAGATCCTCCCATCTCTTCTCCAACATCCATGGATCACGGTTTGAATCATGGTAAATTGCAAGCCTTTCAAGTTGCAATGACTACAACAAAACCATAAAGAGAAAGTAAAATAAAATGACCATCTAAGTCAGATGTCGGCATCAAGCAAAACACAAAGCATATCTTGTATTTTGGGAGAAAAGAGCTGCGACAGTGATCAGTAGTAGAGATGCTTAATTGAGTCTACGAAGCACTAACATGTCGATACCATTACAACCATAACCATGGGAAGAGAATTATGTATCAAAGACATCAAACTTAATTATTATTAGAATTTGGAATCTTAGTGCCTGGTCAATCCAGATCCTAACAGGATGCATTTCAAACTTAATGGAATGGCAAATATAAGATCATCAGTGTACCTAGATAATATAGAAGATGTTTCACAAACTGCATAGTAATACATCTTTTTTATTTTTTAAAGCAAAACATTAACACTGCCTCGGTGAGTTTTCAGGCTCCACCAAGGAAGGCTGGGGGTTACATTACCCCGATCGTATATAAAATAAAAATCAGGAGAACAAGTGGAAGGTGGCATAAAACTGACCTCCCAAATCTCCACCACTGCACCACAAGAATATATAACAAAAATAACAAGTTCAAATCTCTCTGACCGAAAAAAAAATATTCAGGCCCCACATCTAATATCAAACTATATATACTCAACTTCCAAGCATCAAGGTTATTTGATACTGTCATGATGTACTATTTGTTTCATTCAATCTAAAACCCACCACATATACTACACCACAGATAAAGGGTATCAAGAGCCAACCAAGTATATCAATTTTAGAAAAGCCAACATAAAAGAATACCATGGAGCATACCTTGCGCAATTTATCCAACGCACCACTTGTGTCGAAGGTTTCATTTCCCTGCTCATCCATCGTCACTGCAGCCAGCTTCGCCAAGGTAATACCACAAGAAAATGGATGCCCAGGATTGCTGGAAAACCATGGTGTCATTAAATATAGAAAGAAAAGGACAGAAGATGAAAAACAGCCGTTAAAAAAATAAAGTTTTGTAGAATCCTGAAAGCAATAAATAAGAAGCCATTCAAGCGACCAAACAAATAATATAAGTTGTAATGAGAAATCCAGTTAACAACAACAGAAAAACAAACCTCGCGGAATCTTCATATCTAATATGAACATTACTAATGGTTATCTTGAGATTTCCAATAATTGTAGAAATAAGTGAGCCCAGCCAAGAATTTCCACTTGATGGCTGCAAAAAGTAACAAAATGATTAAGTCAAAATGATAGGCTATTCTAGACTAGCTTTCACATACATGAATACAAATGGAAGACATCAAAGGATTCCTCTAGAAATAAGACAAATAAAATAGAAAGAGCTTCAACAAGATAGCAACAAGTAAAAGGAGCAAGTTACAGAAATCCGTGCATATTGTATATATACTGAATGTTCAAGTTAGAAAAACCACCCAATCGTACGAATATGAGACACCATGGCCATTATTGATCCTATAGGTTTTAGATGGGAAGAGAGAGAGAGAGAGAGAGAGAGAGAGAAATAGCTAAAAAAATATATTAACACTACTAAAGATATTTAGCAGTCATCACATGGGGGAGGTCTAGAGGGATATTAGTTTAGAAATTTGTATTACTTTAGGCTAGTATCAAGGTTGTACCCTCAGTCATAATCTTTTTGCTTCAATCATGAATAATCTTACAGGACATCTAGTTAATACTAGTGCACCTAAAAAATAAAATTTACTGATCAAAAGGGAAGGAAACGAGTTGAGCTGAAAACAAACACATTTATTTTAACCCATGTATACATTTACACATAGGCGCTTAATGAGCAGGCGGACTTCACAAGGCAGAAGCAATCCCTTTGTAAACTTTAGGGACGATATACGAAACTGAACTGGTTGATAACTATTATGTGTCAGCCATGAGAAACAGAATGACAACAGCTCGCTCTGTTCAAAGGTTAACCAACTTCAAGGAATGCCACTAAACAAGAAGTGGTCAATGTCTAGATCTTAATAGCATTACATACACAAAAATTCACCCAAGAGCATGAAAAAAAAAAAAGGCAGATCCAACAAATTAGATCCCAGTGCTAGTTGATCAACTTAAGGTACTAAAGAATTTCTATCCTGTATAGCCATGTGTTGAAAATGAGAGAGGAGTGGAGAGCTTCACTTTATATATTACTTAAACTTCATAAACCATTCCCATGTTTTTCCTATTTCTCCATGAATCTTGAAAAATATTATTTTATATCCTACCAAATGCAACAAATATAAACTGAAGACATTACAAGCAGCTTAAAGTTAAATCCCATTAGAAGCCCAATGATTTCGGATACCATACCCTCCACTCCAAAATTTTGGTTGGCCTCCTTTGTCGCCATATTAACGTAATAGTTAGGTTCACATTTTAAATTAGAAGCTATATTGAGAGGTGCACAGAGTAAAATTAGAGAATCGCAATCATACATTTCCCTTGTTTGATCTAGATAATGCTTCGAGGGTCGCTGCTTCTGCTTCCTACATAATTAAGAATAAAGAGTTAAGAGAAGATAAAAACACAAATATAGGCAAATAATAATAAAGGAAAACTAAGGCAAGTATGGGTAAATAATAGCGTTAAAAAAAATTGTCCAAGGACCAATGGTCCTGGGAACTGAAAAAAGAATACAGAAAAGCAAGCCACAAATGGAAAAAAGAACTCCAATTATATCAAATCTATTGATGCAAACCATTGCAAGCAACAGCTGATCTGGTACTAAAGCGGGGCAAAATTTATTTAAAGGAACAACGAAAACAAGAAAATTATACTCAAAAGAACATCCATCAGAGAACTTATGGGCCAAAATATCTTGGGTTGGAAAAAGTGATGTTTAATAATGCTTCCCAATTTTCTGACAAGATTTAGTTAACTTGGAAAATAAAGAGATGGCACATTGTAACCACACACTAAGAATTCTCCATACATCGGCACATTTCCAAACAAAACAGAAAATGTACAGAGAAGAAAAAATATATCCAAAGAAATACCCACCTCGATTTGTTGAAGTTTGGCCTCAAAAAGCTTTTCCTGGTCCTCTTCCTTATAAAATATACAATGCAAAAGTAAGTAGTATTGAAGATGTAAAGTAAATTAAAGACGACTCTACTTTTTTTTCCAAGAAGTAACATGAAAACGTTCCAACCTTTAGAGACCTTCCATCAGGCGCAGGATGAGCAAGAATGAAAACCTGATCAATTAGCACAATGACGGGCTCCTTACCAAGACTTTTCCAAGGAACCTATCATTTAATAAAGGATAATAATATAAGTATTCTAAACATTTGTGGTTGAAGCCATTGTGATGAGCAAGTACCCGAATGGGAGAGAAAACAGCATTCAAAATTACTTTTCCTTTTTAGGTGAAATGTAAAGAAAGAAGAAGGGTTATGGTGTTCAAATTACACAATTGACAGGTCACAGTACTACTGTATAACATACAAGAAATCGAGTCACAAACTTTAAATTCGTTTCCCACTAATGTAACCAAACTTTGCAATCTTGTGTCCGTACGCAACGTACATTCATCGTAACCAACCTCAAAATCCTCACCTTGCAACTAGAAGTGCTTGTAGCCTCATCACAAGTACATGACATATGATACTCAGACTCGGGTACGAGTACGTATCCAAGTGTCGGCTCTTTTATTTTCTAAAAATGTAGGATACAAAAACATTGTGGAAAATAGTCCAAATTTCGAATACAGGTATGTGAGTATATCTTTCAAACTTCAAAAGGACTAAAATAAATGAATTCAATAGTTCTAACTATAAAAAGAAACTATTTAATCCTTTAATAGACGAAGAAAATTCCAAAAACAAAAAAATAATAATAAAATTAGCATTTGGAACATAGTTTCAAATCCCAAAATGAAACAAGAAAATATAAATTCGTATATTTTTAAAGATAATCAACGAAAAAATTATAACTTTTCTTTAAACCTACAAAATAAAATTGAGACTTCATAGTTAAAGTGGGCTTATCCGGCGGCCCATTTTATGCAAAAAATATCTCTACAATCTTCACTCGGGTCAATATTCTTTCTGAAATTTAAAACAATCAAGCCAATACTCTTCCTCTGTCTACGTAAAAAGTCCCAAAATTTATATAAAAAAAGGCCCAACATTTAAAAAAAAGGCCAAAGTCCACATTCATAACAAGTTCCACTCCTGGCCGTGTCCAGTTGATTTTTGCTATGTCTGGCCTATATCCCAATACCCATAACCGTGTCGGTCGGGTCAACACGAATGCTCCAGCCAGAATTTAGAGTTCGAGCATCATAGGACATGACATAGTGATGCCTTTGTACACAAATCTTTACCCCATGATAAGGTCAACTACATGTTCCCTTTTGTTAGTACATACATGGATGATAATTACTCAATTAAACAAAACTCAAAAATTTTCATCATCTTTTGGGCATTGTGAATCAAAATAAAGAAAATCACCTTGTTCTTGATCCTTATAACGCTCAAATTTAGAGCAGTAATAATATAAACAAAATTTGCAGACAAGTGTTTAGGCAGATTATGAGCAAGAACAAAACTTCACACTAATGCTAAATGATGAGTGCTCCACACTCACGATATTTATACCACTTAATTCGTTATTTTGTTACCCTTGAGAGAGTTTTAGATTATTTTTATGTGTGTTTTGATGGTTTGATGTAGGTTGATAAAATTGAAGAAAATAAGCAAAAATTGGCAAAATTGGAGAAAATTGCTAAATTGCAAGATATCCAAAGCTCGAAGATTAAAGTGCAAATACTCAAAAATTGTGTTGAACCTCATGAATGAAGATTTGAGAGTGTTAATTGTCAATGGGATGAAGAAAGATATCAAAGGGATCAAATATAATAAAGAATTATCACGCATCAAATTCCAACCAAAAAAGTTTTGCTCCAGATTTTTATTCTCATATTTGACACAGTAAATGACCGAATTGGAGGGTGATGTCTGAAGTAAAGTTGTAACCCTTTGAGTTCTCTTTCTAACGCATCTTGAATCATCTCAATCAGATATCGGAAGAAAAAGTTATGATAAAAATACTTAAAGTCATGCAGTCTGTCATTTCATCGAATCGGGCGCCCAGCTTGTTGAAAATCAGCAGAAGACGCCGCACTAGGCGCCGGATCCCGAGAAAGAGGAAAATTGGAAATTTTAAAAGATTTTCGGTCCGGTCCAATCCTATTCCGTCTTGCAACTTGTGTACACTATAAATACCAACATAAAGACCTAATTTTGGAGTTGGAAGGAGGAGAGAGATACAAAAAGATTGAATCTCCAAAGACAACAACAAGAAGGAATTGAAGAAATAAATTGAAAAAAGCATGGAAATATCAAAGGGGATATCGAGCAACACTCCAAAAAGAGATTTTCTTACCTTCTCCTTTATATTTTCCATAGTAGATTGTTTAGATTTTATGAATTATTTCATGAGCTAGACAATTTAGCTAGGATTTGATGTAGCCAACTTGAGATTATGGTTTGATGAATATATGAATTATTTCTTTT